GACCAGGAAATTCCTCATTGTGTCTAACCTCATTGTGAGGCAGGGGGCCCCTCTAGCTGGTTGGAAAGCTTACTCATTATTTGACAAATGTGTTTCCTCTCCCACCCTAACCATGCTTTATACTAGAAATCAGGGTATTTTTCATAGTTTTTAGGCATTTACAAGGCAAGGAAGTGATGAAATCAGTAAGAATTGTGGAGAGTGGTGGAAGTGGGAATCCAAAGTTAGAGGAAGGGAATCTTTCAGAAAGCTGCCAGGAGGGCCACTATGGGGGCCCAGAGGCAGAAGGAGGGGAGACTTCTGGGCCAACAGTGCTGCAAATGTATTTATGTACACAACTCTGTGTTTGTGTCTGTGTGTGTGTGTTTGTGTCTGTATGTGTGTGTGTGTGTGTTTCCTCCTTTGATCAGGTCAGAGGACAGTGAGGTTCAAGGGTTTTGGTCCATGTTTGCATGGGCTCCTACTTTCACACCCCAATTAGATGAGATAATATTCTTCACTCTCTCCCCACCCCCAGGTGTATTCCTCTTGCCTTCTGTTCCCATTCTTCTTTTAAGGTCATCAGAACATGACAACATCGCTCTCAGGCCGTCTGTCTAGTTGGACTACCTCTGTGACCCCTGATGGTGATAGACTTCTGAGGCATCATCTCCTCATATTAAAATGTAAAGTTTTCCTTGTTTAGTTCCATATGACTGGTCACTTGCTTATGCTGACCTTTTAAATGTTTCTTTTGACTCCTGTGTTTGGACTTAAGAGTTTTTCTGCAGCTCTGGGCTTTTCATCAGGAATGCTTGGAAGTCCTCTGTTCATGAAAGGGCCATTTCCACCCCTCACCCCCACCCCATCTGTGACCCAGAAGTGGATGAGAGCAGCAAAGCTGTCATTTGGCACCTACTCCCATGCGTTTTACAGGGTGCCCCCTAGGCTGGATCTGAGACCTCTTCTAGCCTCTCCCTGCTCTAGAAAGTCCTTTCTAGGCTGGTCCCCACCCCCACTGAATGGGGACCTCTCTGCCCATCTCTCTATGTGATTGTCCTCCTTCCTGCTGCTCTACCACTTATATTCTGCTTTGGCAAGCCCTGCTTGGAAGGGGCTTATGTTCTAACTGGAGTTTACATTCTAGTCTAGCCCAGATTCTTAGTAATATGTTAGAGTATAAGCTCCCTGAAGCAGGTTTTTTTTTTTACTTCTTATCTTTGTTCCTGCCCCCCCCCAGCATAATGCCTTTATATGTAGAGATGTCATTTATTTAACATTTTAAGATTAGTTTTTTAAAAATGTTGTCAGTGCTTAATAAACATTGAATTGAATAATACACCTTTCAGCATTTCTGTCTTAAGATTTAGACCTTTGCCCTTGGATTTAGTTTCAAATGAGATCACCAGTTATTATCTTTCTCTAGGGCTCCACAAAGTTTATGGCCCAACATTGCAGGCACTTCCTCTGCCAGCTTGGATTGTGAACACCATTACAGGCTGTCTTTTTGAGTTTCTATGGACAAAACCATTTCACCTTGGGTAGAGAGCCTTCAGAAAGTGACTCTCAGAATTCAGTGGGGACAGTCTGGTCTTCCAAGGAAGGAAATACCCCATTCCTCAGGTGGCTCATAGACAAGGACTTCCTAATTTAGTAGATCTGGCACTAGCTTGCCCTTCTTTGGAGAAGCCTTCAAAAAGATGGACTTAAGTGGAGCTACTGCTCTCCTTATTATGTTTCCTCTTATTACCACCTTTCTTCTGAAGGAAAGAGCAGTCTAAATTCCTTGATGGGATTGGGAAAAGAGTATTTGTTTAATAGAGAAAAATCCTTCTCACGGCTACTTTCCAGTCCCCTTTCATTAATCCACATCCCTCTGTGTCCCAAACTGGATTCGATGCCCACCTAAAGCTAGCAAAATCCTTAACCAATGCCAAACATTATTGTTAGAATTGGAGAATCTGCAGGTTAATTTCCTGTACTCCAAACAGAAGAGAGAGAATGGCAGGCAACAAGGCTTCATGTTGGACCAAGGCCTCTCCCCTTCCATGGTTTCCTTTGCTGGCCCCATCACAGAAGGAGTCAAACCAAGAGAGAGGAGATGAAGGGCATGTGACAGAGGCCAGATAGGGACCCTCAAAGGCACCCTTGCTTCTGGTGACCAAGGAGGCTGCCACCTATCATTGGTTAGCAGACTGTCTACTGATGCTCAATGCCTTTTGGAGGTATTCTATTTTGGATCCTCATGCCTTTCCTGGAAGCAGGCTTTTCAGCCTCCTTCATGGTGGCTGATGGGTGGGCTCATCCCCAAAGTCCTCTCTCTTGGCTCTTCTGCCAAACAGAAGAACAGCCCATTCAAAGAGCAGAAGATGTATGGGCATACTGAGCTCCCTATCGGGAGAGGTCTTTGAGTAGAGAGAGGATGGATGGCCACTTGTAAGGGATATGTTACACGTGCAATCATGTAAAACATCGGTTTGGTTGTGAGTGGGACTCGGTACCTTCTGAGGTCTCCTAACTCTGTGACATGTCAGGCCTTTTCTTGTTTCTGATAATCATTATCCGATGCTTCCATCCTCAAGGAGCAACTACATCATGACTTAGAAACATTGACTATTTTCTCTGGCCTGGCCATCTGGAGAACACTCTGTTTCTACCTTTCCTTCATCAAAACTAACCAAACCCAAAAAATCTTCCTGGTGTTATCTAGACCAGGGGTTCTTCTTCTTTTATAAAAGATATTTTATTCCTCCTCCCCCCCCAATTACATGTAAAAAATTTTTAATATTTGGGTTTTTTTAAGTTTTGAGTTCCAAATTCTATCCATCTCCCCTCCTTGAGACAGTAAGTGATCGATTTGGTTTATACATGTGCAATCATGTAAAACATTTCCATATTGTCATTTTGTGGAAGAAAACTCAAACAAAAAAAGAAAGAAAGTAAAACACAATATGCTTCTGTATGTGTTCAGATGACATCAGTTCTTTCTCTGGTTGTGAATAGCATTTTTCATCATGAGTCCTTTGGGATTGCCCTGGATCATTGTATTGCTGAGAATAGCTAAGTCCTTCATAGTTAATTATTGTACAACATTGCTAATACTGTGTGCAATATTCTCCTGGTTCTGCTCACTTCACTCTGCATCAGTTCATGTAAGTCTTTCCAGGTTTTTCTGAAATCATCCTGCTTGTCATTTCTCATAGCATAATAACATTCCATTATAACCATATTCCACAGCTTGTTTAGCCATTCCTCAATGGATGGGCATGCCTTCAATGTCCAGTTCTTAGCCACTACTAAAAGATCGCTATAAATATTTTTGTACATATAGATACTTTCCCCTTTTTTATGATCTCTTTGGCATACAGACCACATAGTGGTATGGCTGGATCCAAGTGTAGGCACAGTTTGATAGCCCTTTGGGCATAGTTCCAAATTGCTCTTTAGAATGTAGACTACGGGTTCTTAATCTTTTTTTTTCTTGTTCCATAGACCCTTCTGGCAGTCAAGTGAAACCTATGAACCTCCTTTCAGAATAATGTTTTTAAATGCATAAAAGAAATTATATAGGATTGTAAAGGAAATTGATTTTAGTGAAATACAGTTAGTCAAATATTTTTTTAAAAAGTTCACAGACCTGATTTTAAGAACCCTTGATGAAGACAATAACCAAACGATCTTGGGCTGATCTATAGACTAGTGTGGCTCTATATCTATCTATCATCTATTTATTAATCATCTATCTGTAGCATCATCATCTATCATCTCCCATCTGTCTGTCCATCCATCTATGTGTCTGTATGTATGTTGTCTGTCCTATCTTGCTATGGCCCTTCTCTAAGCCTCCTTTCTTTCCTTTGGGGAGGAGGGCACTGGAGGGCTAGCGCGAGCACACACACACACACACACACACACACGCATACACACACACACACACACACACACACACCAGGCCCCCCTTTTGCCTATTTCATGGACCAGAGGACCCAAATTTGCATCTTCTCTCTACTTCTCCCTAGGCAGGTGGTTTCACCAGGAGCTTCAGGATCCTGATGTACAGAAGGAAGAGATTAGCCATAGGTGTCAGACTTATGACCTGCCCCCTTCCCCCAAGCAAGGGCCCAAACCAGATTAAAATGTCACTGGGAAATGTTTCACAAAATAAATAAAAATATAATACAGTACAGGGAATGCTAGTTTGTGTTTTTTTCTCTTTTTTTGCATTTGACATCCCTGGTCTGGGTCCTTTCCGTCTGTAACAGTCAGAAAGCATGTATTAAACGCCTATGTGCAATGCACTGCACGCTGGGGATGATGGGAAGAGAAATGAAAATTCCTTCTTCTCTAGTTAAATAATAATAATATAAATAGGCCTTTCTGAGAATTTCAGAGTTCAAGAGATAGACTATAAGTTTATGATGATATTAAATAGCATAAAATGTGCTAGGTGATATACATGCACATGTGTATGTATGTCCACCTACATGTCCACACACAGGTAGAGGTTCATACATGTATGTGTTTATGTGTGTGGACATGTAAGTCCATCTACATGTCCACACACATAAACACATACATGTATGAACCTCTACATGTACATAAAGGTACGCACATACATGCCTGCATGTGGGTATCCAGGTTGTAGAGAGTGATCTCTTTCAGGGTAGGGGCAAATTTTCAGTTTCAGATTTGATTTCCGCTAGTGGTCACGGAGCAAGTGCCAAGCGAGTTGCCTGAAGACGGGCTTTTCTTATGTTTCGGGCCTTATTTTGGCTCATTCCTGGCAGAGATGGTGATGCTCTCTCCTCCTCTGAGTCTAAATGGGTGATGCTTGGAGGATCACTGCAGTCCAGTCCTTGCTGGATGAGCTGTCTTCTCACCTGGCTGTCTTTTTTATGACTGTGTGGACAAGAAGAGGCAACCAAGACTTTGGGAAACAGGCTCTCCCCACCCCAAGCTGGGGCGTCTTTTGTCTTTCCCTGAATGGAGGTTAAAATGTTCCTCTTTTCCTCTCCATCCAGATCTTGTACTGTACTTTAAGCACTCCCAAGATTGACATGGAAAGACTCTTAGGAGCACAAATCGGTCTGGAAGATTTCATATTTGCCCACGTGAAAGGCATTCAGAAAGAAGTGCACGTGTATAAATCAGAGGACGCCCTTGGTCTCACCATCACAGACAATGGTGCCGGCTATGCTTTCATAAAGGTAAGCTTTAGTTGATTCAGTTTTACAGGAATGTGTGATTATTGGAGTCAGTGGTCCTTAGAGGCTGCTCTTGGCCAGGCTACTTAGGGAACAATTGAAGGCATTGCCTGCCCAGGGTTCATCCCATTCTTCCCCCAAAATTGTATCCAATTAACAGTCTTCTTCCTGGGACTGTGGGGCTGACACGACATGGAGTGGGGAGACCTATTCCACACTGGGAGCTTATTCAGCTCCACTCCTGACTTGCTGCTCATCACTGGTGGGGTGGAGCTGCTGACTGTTCATTCTCTGCTCTGCCTTCTTGGTTTCTTTTAAATCCCTTCAAAAAAATCTTTTCAGCTATGAGGGAAATTTAACCCAGGGCCCTTGAACTTGTTTTCAAAAATACCTTGAAAGCCATATTTTGATATATTTGATTTCCTGTATCATGTCTCCACCATGTTGATACCCCTTTTGTGAATTCTTTGGGAGGGTGGAGAAACTTCCATTTTGGGGCTGGGCTCAGGCTGGCCAGCCTTCATTCCCCTTCTGGCTGGGCTTCTGACTGTCTAGACTTTTGCCTGAGGACCTGCACCTCTGGTGTGAGGCTTGCCCAGCCCTTTTCGGGCCTGCTAATCCACCTTTTATGTTCGCCTTTCAGCCAGCTCTCCCCATTGGCTCCAAGAAGCTGTAGCCTGCAATGGCCACACCCCATAAAGCCATCTTGGCAGATGGGCTAAATTAGGTTGAGGGTAAGCAATGAATGGGTCTCAAACCCATTGGTGAGGGATGTTTTCCCTAAACATGTGAAGACTTCCCCCAGCAGAATAAGGGCCGATAAGAACAATTTATTCCAGTGCCCATGAAGGTGGCTGAAGCAGGTGCTGTAGAGTGCTTAGACCTCGTTCAGACATTGAAGATGCCAAGGTCATCTGCTGCATTCTGAGCCATCATCAGTTGTCTTGACTTTTATTCTGCCACTGGACTTCGATGACTCTGAAAGAGAGAGTGAGGCTAACAACTTTGTGGAGCTCTGGCTCATTTAAATCCAATTCACACTCAATCAAGACCACCTCTTGATGTTACTGATCCTCTTCAAAACTGAAGGATGAACAACAATTTGTAGCCCTAGTGCTTGTACAGTGCCTGGCATACAGCAAGTGCTTAATAAATGCTTGTTGCATTGCCTAGCCTTTTACACATTGAAAAACGTTATCCTGAGAGGGGACTCATAGGCAATGCCACACTGCCTAAGGAGTCCATGGCACACAAATGGTCAAAAAGCCCTGAATGATATGGTTCGGTGGTGGAAACATAGGGTAGGAAGACCTGAAGGCAAGAGTGAGAACTTGGTTGGGAAATGAATAAGAAAGCCCCAATGTTTTTCTTCAGTAATTTAGACTGATTGGAAGAGAAAGTCTTCATTCTAAAGTCTGAATACAGGGAGCTGTTCCTAAGAGCATAGGTTCACTATGATGGAGTTCACCTTCCATTTCATAAGAATTTTTTCAACACTGGTATTGTGACAGGCCCCGTCGTGTGGCTTTAGGTGGCAAAATAAAAAACCTGTCCCTTGGCCAGAAGCTTGCATCCCCTCCAGGGATAAAACCTGTAAACTGATTTAATTCAACAGTTATTTCTTAATTGCCTACCTTGTGCTGGGCACTGCTAGATGTGGGTGGAGATAAACTAAAGTGAACATTTTGCCCTCAAGGGGCTTATGTTCTATGGGGAGGGTGATACATAACACGTCATAAGTAAATAAAAAGCGATTTTACAGGTAGGGTCAACAACAACTACAGTGATCAGGAGGTAGAGATCCCTGACACTAACTGGGAGTATCAGGAAAAGCTTGGAGTAGGAGGTAGAAGCTAAACTAAGCCTGGAAAAGCAGGTGAAGAAGAGTGATTCCAGGCAAAGAGCTAGAATCTGGAGACAAGGACTCATTGTTTGGTGTGAAGAGAGCCAGACTGAAGGACTCTAAAGGCCAAGGCGAGAAGTTAGTGTTGAGGCCCCATATTCATAGCCCTGCCAGAGGGATGACTTGGTCAGAAATCCTGGGGATTGATGGAATGGAAAATCCTCGTGGTGGGAAAGTCATGCAGGATTATCTCCGGGAATTCAGGCCATGAGGCGGAGACTTCACTATCTCTGCAGTGTCGCCAGCCCTGGGGCCTCTCCGATGGGGGCATGAAACTAGACAAACACTCACGGACTGCAGAGCTGTTGGCATCCATGGCAGGGCCTCGTGCTTGATCTCTTGGGGTATGCCCAATGCCCCGTGTGCCCACTTCCCAGTACTAGGCACTATCCCTTTTTGGGTTGAAAGGGCCATTGTGGGTGAGCAAGAGACTGGAGCCAAAAGTTCAGCAGTGAGGGCAGAATTGGAAAGGAAGTAAGAATGGAAGGTTATGGAGTTTTACAAGCTTAGTTTAAAATTGGTAGGGAGGTTTTTATATAACATGGGCAAGACTGCTGGGCTCCGCTTTAGGAAGACCTAAGATTCAATCTTGCTTCTGGAGCTCTCCAAGTATAGCACTCTGGGAAAATTACTTAACCTTCTTTGCTTCAGGGGATCAATTCCTCAAGAGTTAGGGATGTTAGATCTTTACCGGTAGAGGGTGTTCTGGACCAAGAAATCATGGATCCTTTGTCTACAAAGCTGTATTCAGGGACTGGGAAGTAGGGAGGAGAAAGGAATAAATGATGAACCCCCATAAACTAGGATATGCCTTGTTCAGTCGGGGAAGGAGACCTTGAGGAAGAGGCCCAGAGATGGCGGTGGGACAGCCTGACTTGCAACCTCCCTGTCCTAACAAAGGGTGCCAGGCATCGGACTCCAACGTAACTTCATATGGCAAGGAGAGAAAAACCACTAAATCCCCAGTGTGGCTAACTGGGGAAAGGGAAGGGAACAAGGGATGTTTCTAGACATTCTACTATGTGCCAGGCACTGTGCTGAGCACTGATTGAGAAGAAACAGACACTTTTATTCATTTTTCATTTCCTTAAAAAGGCATTAGGTTTTTAATTAAAATTTTGTCACCAGGCATCAGTGGAAGGAACTAAATGTGTAACAATTTACATGTAAATTAAAGTATCCTAACCCTTTTCAGGGTTTCTAGCCTGGTAAGTCCTGCTCATTTTCCCTCTCTTTTCCCTGTCATGTTGTTATTGGACGGCTTTTATTTCTTTAGTTCTGTGCTGAAAACTTTGTGTTATTTCATTCAGATGTTTGCAGGTTTTTGGGGTGTTCTTTATACTTGTCAGTTTTAATAGCAGTGTAGATGCTCCACTCTGTGAACACAACATTTGTTTGTCCTCTTTGCTTGGACATTTAGAATTTGGATTTTTTTTTTTAGCTCATTATATAACGTAGATATGAAAATCTTTGGTACAGTGGAAATAACACTGACCCTAAGGGTAGAAGACTCTGATGCTTACTTATCTGTATGAATGTGGAAAAGACAGTTAAGCTTCCAGGGCCTCAGTTTCCCCACCTGTAAGAAGAGTAGGTTGCACTAAACAATATCTGAGGTCCCTTCAAGTTCCAAATCTCTGATTTTTTAAATAGATGTTTTTTTTTTTTTGAAGGAGGAGGAGGTTTGTTTCTGATAACATTTTCAAGGTATTTTCCCAACAGTGGCCTTTTGGGGTTCAAAGCTATGATTATTTTTGCTCTGATTATTGTGTACTTCCAGATTGCTAGCCAAAAAAAAAAATATTCAGAAGGGGTGCTTAACCTGAAGTCTGTGAAATCTTAAAAAATATATATAATTTGAGATCTGTTATTTCAGCAGAATGGGTTTTCTTTGTAGTCCCTTTGTATTCTTTGTAATGTTTTGGTATGCATTTACAAACATGATTCTGAGAAGGGGTCAGGCTGTCCAAGGGGGCCAGGACACAGACAGGGTGAAGAGCCTGCTCTACCAGATGAGGCAGCAGCCGCTTTTAAATGAAAAATGAGAATAAGGCCTGACAGCATCCGTCCTTTTTGGAAAGCGAGGGGAAGCATGTGTGTTTTTCTTCTTCATTAAGTGGGGAACTATCTTATAAATAGACATTAACCTCATTCTTTTCAGTGTCCCGCTTCTATCTATAGACATTTTAAAGATGTTATGGTGCTCTGTTGTAATAGGGCTAGAATGTCACATAGCCCCTGGCTCTCTTATTCAGGGGACAGATTCATTTAAATAATTTCTTTGGGAGCTAATCGTGGCCTGGGCCAGAGGCCATAGAGAGGAGGAATCTTCCTGCTTTCTTCCTTCCCTTTCTCCTCCTTCTCTTCCTCTCCACCCCACCCCCTTGTACCCAGGCACATCATCTTTATTGTTTGTTTGCTTTTTTTTTTTCAGGCAATTGGGGTTAAGTGACATGCCCAGGGTCACACAGCTAGTGTCAAGTATTTGGTCTGATGCCAGATTTGAGCTCAGGTCCTCCTGACTTCAGGGCCGGTCCTCTATCCACTTCACCACCTAGCTGCCCACACATCATCTTTAGTAATAGTAATCATCTTTAGCCTACTGCCCTCCCTCCCTTTCTGTCTCCACAGATGGGCTCAGGGCCTGCTCAGTATTTCCTAAATACTTATAAGGTCATCTTGTAGAAAGAGCCCTGCTTTAGAGACAAAGAACTTAGGTTCGGATCCCACTTTGAGTTCTCCCTATCTGTGGACCTTTGTCAAGATACTTTACCCCCTCAATGGATTAGACTGCTCTGAGGTTCCCTTCACTCCCTTTGTTCCTTCCTTCTTTTCCTACTTTCTTCTTTTTTTCTTCCTTCTTTCCTTCCTTCCTTTCTGAGTTTTTTTTTTTTTTGGCAAGGCAATCGGGGTTAAGTGACTTGCTCAGGGTCACATAGCTAGTTGAGTGTCAATGTCTGAGGCCAGATTTGAACTCAGGTTCTTCTGATTCTCCACTCCTGCTCTATCCACTTCACTTTCTAGCTTCCCTGGTTCCCTTCACTCTCTGTTGATGATTCTATTTAGTGCCAGGTACTGGGCACATGAAGGGGAAAAAAAGCAATGTAACCTGCCCTTGAGGAGCTCATGTTCTAATGGGGAAAGTGGTGCCTATACAGAGAGGGAATAGAAAGTATTTTAGGGACAGAGGAGAGGGGGAGAAAAACTGGGAGGACTGAGATAGACCCTCCTGTAGGGAGTGACTATAGAGCTGAAGCTCAGAGGAAGCTAGGAATTCTGTGAGGCAGAGGGGAAGGGGGCATGTGCTCTAGGTGGGGCAAAAATGGAAAGGAGAAACAGCAGGCAGGGCAGTTCGGCTGGAAGGACAGGGGGTCCCAAAGCTAGTGAAGCTTCTCTAAGGCTCTGGGGATGCCCGTACAGTGCATGGACGGGCATAATGGACAATCAAACTAGAAAGGAGATGATGCCAGGCTTTGAAAGTCAAGAAGAGAGGTTTGTGTTTTATAGTTTAGCCAAGAGGGAGCGGCAGGAGGCTACGTCCAGCAAGAAGTGAGGAGGGTCTGAAGGAGACTAGCGTCCAGGCACCTGGAAGCCTGAATGGAGGCATGACCAGATAGGCATGTGCACTGAAGGACGAGTTTGGAGAAGAAGTCTCGGGCTGCCTGGGGATTTTGCGTCAGTATTTTGTTAACTTTTTGATGTTTTGAATCTTGGTTTCATAATGATTTTTTTTCCCACAGACAGTATGTTGTCAGAGGTCTTCCTGCCTTTCGGGTCAGCCCTCCCTCTAACCACTACACCACACTCTCTCTCTATATCGTGACCAGATTGTAAGCTCTTCGAAGAGAAAGACAAGAGTTTATTTAATATTCAGGTCTCTTCTAGCATGTAGGAGCTTTGAGCTTTGTAGGTGCTTGACCCTTTGAATGACTTGGTTTCCCCAGTTTGGGCACCTTTCTGGTGACCCCTTTTTGCCTTTTGCCTCTGGTCTAGCACGGCAGTTTTCTGAAATTCTGGCCAATAGTCACTGGGCTCCACCATCCTCAATTTGCCCTGGTAGAGTGTAACCTCCTTGAAGACAAAGACTATCCATTTTCACCTGTACTTTATGAGCATCTGGCCATCTCCCACCTATTTTTTACTAGGAGGAAGTGGACCCTTTACAGGGAGTCATCTGGGTCTTTGGAGAGCTGAGGTTTCTGTGTTCTGTCGCTGCTAACCCTCTGTTGGCTTTTAGGGCCATTCATGACTCAGTCCCTTCCAACCTTTCCAGTCCTTCTATATATGCTTCCTTATGCCCGTCCGCATACTTTGCCATCCCAGTAACACTGGCTTGGCCTCCTGGTTCCTTCCCCTTTCCTGACTCCCCCAGACCTGGAACTCTCTCCTGCCTTCTCTGAAATCTTTCAAGTCCCAGCTGAAATCCTACCTTCTACAAGAAGACTTTCCCGATCTTCCCTTTTAGATGACCTCCAATTTATTCTGCATATATCTTGTATGTGTGTGGTTGTCCATTATTCACCCTATTAGATTGGCAGGTACTTGAGGGCATGGACGTTTTTTGGGCCTTTCTTTGTATCCCCAGTTCTTAGCACCCAGTGCCAAGCTCACAGTAGGCACTTTATAAATGATTGTTGACTTGATTTGCTATTCCTTTTTCTCCGTATTATTATTGTGGGACAATAGAATAAGCCTTGTTTGGAGGGGCATGATTCTTTCCCTTTCAGGAAGGAAGTCAAGCCAAATTAACTGTCCACTGTCAGTAGTGACAAAATATCTAGGCTTTATTCAGATTTTCCCCCTTCCGTTCTAAACCATCGATTCTCTTCCTTGTCTATTTGAATTCTTCTTCAAGACCTTCACTTTCCCTTTCTATCTTTTCCTTTAATCTAATTCATCCAACTTTTTCCTTTCTTCAATGGTTGCTTAGTGGCTCCTTTCACTTGCCCAAGGGTACACTAGTGCTTGAAATGTAATCATTAATTAGGTAAATTTCTGGGCTCGGAGGAATCCAAAGCAAGACCTAGGGAAGATCAAAGCTAGGTTTTTTCCAGTCCTTTTTACGCTAAATGGGCTGGTGAAGATTATGTCTGACCCAGACCAAAGCTGTTTTTAGAGACCATTCTATTTCCAGCATTCACTTTTCCTTTTGTCCCCAGAGTCTTCCCACTGATTGGTTCATTGGGTTTTCTGTGGGCAGTTAAGGAGGGCTCCCTTCAGTTTCTCACTGTTCCCAGAGCAGCTGCTGTGGCTTTCCAGGGAGATGCCCACCCTGGCAGGTCATATCTAGAGGGTGGGAGAGCTCAGGTTTCCTTTGCTTGATCCTGACCTAGAGGGTGATAGAATGAGCTCTGCATGATCAGGTTACTTTTGTGAAAGAAGTTAATTAACTCTCAGCCACCTTAGCAAGTGACAAACTAGGATTTTATAACATTTTATAGCTTACGTAGAAGGCGAAGGGGAAGCCCAAACTGACTTTGGTATTTAATGAACAAAGTAAAGAATGAAAAAAAAAAGAGCCACCTGGATATCTCTCAATGAAGATTTTTTTTTTTTAAATAGCAAAATACTGTTACAGAGATGACTGGTAGCACAACTTTTCCAACCTAATTTGGTCCAATAAGAATTGATTTAGTGAGTAATGTGTTCCAGGTGCTGGGGACCTGAGGACCAGCCTAGAATGCATTGATGGGTTGATTGATTCTACTGGGGGCGGGGGGAGGCAGATCACACTACAGGAAAACTTTAGCTCAAATCTGGCCTCAGACACTTCCTAGTCGTGTGACCCCGGGCAAGTCACTTAACCACTGTCTGCCTCAAATTTCTCCAACTGTAAAATGAGGATAATAATAGCTCCCACCTCCCAGAGTTTTTGTGAGGATCAAATGAGATAATATTTGTAAAACTCTTTGCAAACCTTAACGAGCCACCAGCTATTTTTATTGTGATCTGCACCCAGGAATGTACTGGAACCACTCGTAACAGTTCACTAAAGCTGATTGTTAAATTTTCATTGTGTGCATTTACACTTTGGAAATCAGCAAACACTGCTATTCAGGGCTTGATATATAATTTTACTGATTTTCTAGACTTAAGAAATTGATGGAGAAAATGGTAGTAATGCTGAATAACTTAAAAATGTGCTGTATGCATATTTTGGGCTGTTGTTGGTTTTTTTTTTTTTTGGAAGCAGTAGTTAAACATTCACCAGTACTCCCACCTGTGAAAACAGAGCCCACTCTGATGAAATCCCAGGTCCTTTGTGGAACTGAAGTGAGAAAAAAGTCCTTTGCAGGTTGAAATAGACTGAGTCCGACCAGGTATTTCGAAGATATGATTAATGCCTGTGTTTTAGGCATCCCGGCACTCGGTAGGACAGAATCTGCTGCTCTAGGAAGTCCCATGATGAGAACTCTCAAGTTAAGGACATTCCTTCATACTCCAGGCAAGCTTACCTGCTTGGATGTGCCCCAACACTTCCAAATCGATGTTGTCGGCGATGTTTAGGATTCTTTACAGAGGGACTATGGCGCTGGGGTCCAGACCGAAGGGGGCCATGAAAAGGGTCCTTTGAAAAATACTTTTGAAAAATGAAAGGAATCACCTGAGAATGTTTGTTACATGTTTAATGTGCTTTTCCCCAACAGAGAATTAAACATGGCAGCCTAATGGACTCTGTGAAGACCGTCTGTGTAGGGGATCACATCGAAGAGATAAATGGCCAAAATATCGTTGGGTGGCGGCACTATGACGTGGCTAAGATGCTCAAACAGCTCAAGAAAGAGCAGTCATTTTCGCTGAAGTTGATAGAGCCCAAGAAGGCTTTCGGTGAGTAATTACAGTAGATTTTTTGTGATGTCTTTGCCACAGACACGTCAGTGACCGAAGGAGGCGAGGCGGCTGCCCTTGGGTGTAGGCTTCTGCAGCCGTCCTCGGCACTTCCTGTAAGAAAGAGAATGGCTGGGCCCGGGGTCCAAAGGGGCCGAGAGGCCATACCACCACCCACCTTCTCTTTCAAGAGAAGGAAACTGAGGCCTCGGGCCTGGCTGGAGAGCCTCAGGTCTCCTGGACTCCGAGTCCCTTTCTCTGTTGGCTGCACCAGGCTCCGGGAAAACGGGCCGCCTTGTAGCGGGGAGCACCTTCAAAGTAGCTTGGAGCTCTTCCATCTCCCAACATGGCCGGCTGAATTCTAGGCTTCCCTAGAAGGCAGCTGCTGCTCGGACTCAATTCTTGGATTCAGAAGTGGCTGCTTTAGGCTACGCACATAGTTAGAAGTAATGCCATTTTCTGGCCCCCTGGCTGCGTTTCAAAGGCCAGAAGGATGCTTCCCCTTGAGGGTGATGTCTCTCTTTGCCTGTTTTGGCTGCAGCAGCTGCTTCCCAGCCCGGTCTTCAGCCCCATCCCCTGCTCTCGGGACATTTTCTCAGCCAGGAAACCATCTCCTTAGGTCTCTTCACATCCAACACCATTTGGATGGCTGCCTCTGACGGCCCCCTCTCGAGCCAGTGGAACCCAATTCAAGGCTGCAGTGAATCCCGGGGAGGGGGTGGGGGGGAATCACCTGCTATCCCTGCTATTCTGAGCCCACAAAGAATACTGGTTTGTTGGCTGCTTATAAGAATGGAGGGGAGAATGACTTTCCTGCTCCGAAGTATGAGTGGTGGATTTGGGGAGACTGAGGGAGATTGAAGGTGGGCAAATACAGCAGTGGACAGAGTGCTGGACGTGGAGTCATGAAGTCCTGGGTTAAAACCCAGCCTCAGACACTTACTGGCTGGGTGGCCCTGGGCAAGGCACTTCACCGACATCTGCCTCAGTTTCCTCAACTGTAAAATGGGGACAATAATAACACCGGCCTCCCAGGGTTATTGCGAGGGTCAAATATGATGACATTTATAAAGTGCCTGGCAAATAGCAGGTGCTCTAGAAATGTGAGCTATCATGATGCGAAATCGGAGGACCTGAGTTCAAATCCTGGCTATGCCATGTGGAGCCTGAGTCATCTTGGGCCTTAAATCTACAATTCTGTGCTGTGAGGACACTGCTGACACAGAATGTTTTCTTGGTTTGGCCCATACCACAGACATGGCTGATGGACACTTGTGTGCCCTGCTCCATGTTGGCCCCAAATTGACGGAGTTTCAGCCTGAAACATGTAGTGTTGCCACCCCGAGATCACATGTGTGTGCTCATAGATCATGATCAGCGTGGGTAGGAGCCCCAGGAGCTGCCAACCTGTCACTGGGACCATGCATGATCTTCTGGGCATGGTACTTCTATGTACTACGTTATTCCAGGCATAGTATACATAACATCTGCACGCGGTACAATGTTCTGGGTGTGGCACTTGCATGTAGCACAACATTCCAGAGATGGTACTGACATTACAAGAATGATACATGTATGTAGTATAATGTCCCAGACATGATAAATGTGTGTAGCACAACCTTCCAGAGCATATACATGTAGTACATTATGCTGGGGACAGTAAATTCATGTAGTATCCCATACCAGGGATGTTACATCCAAGCAGTACACAAAGCTGGGGATGGTACATGTATGTAGTATGACATTCTGGGAACAATAAAGCCTGTTCCCCCCCTCCCCTCCCTGTGCAACAGTTTCTTTGACTTGGTCAAGCCTGGTAGCAGCTCCTAATTTTGGGCCACATGCCCCCATTCTATGCCAGTTCTTATAATATCAGGAGTTCGGGTTCAGAGCTGGAAGCAAACTTAGAGCTCATCTGGTCTGATCTCTTTCCCACTCCCATTTTTACAAATGAGGAAAGCATGTCAGAGGTAGGATTTGAACCCAGGTCCTCTGGCTCCAAAGTCCTTGTTCTTTTCCCTATAACCTCTTTGCTTTCTTAAACAAAACAAAACAAAACCCCACAAAGTTGACCTTTTCACAGCATTTTTAAGGTTTTTGAGACATCTTATATACATTATCTGAGACAGACACTATTGATAGAAATATTTTGGCTTTGCAGATGAAGAGATCTCATTTCAGAGTGGTCCAGTGATTTACCCATGGTCACAGCCAGTAAGTGTTAGGAGTGGGTTTGAACCCAGGGTTCTAGAAGGCCTTGCAGAGGGTACTGGCAGTGACTTCAGTAACTCTCTGATTGCAGGCAGATGCCAAGGACACTCTGATGCATTCTCAAGGGTGCACTTCTTGGCACAACTCATTGACACCTAAGGGTCAAGGCATCTGGCCTTTCACTGCTGGACCTTGCTGCAGGATTGTGGCTCCTGTAAAGTGTGCTTTTAAGATGCTTTTGGTGGCCTCAGTTTACCCAACTGCTTTGTTGGGTTGACCTGTGCTCCCTCCTGGGCTGGCCCCTTCTGATCTGGGCCAGGAGGTCTGGGCAGCCCGCCCAGCTCTTATCAGGCAGTGGCTGGAATGTTTCTTGAGAAATGGTTTTAAGGGTAGAGGTCATTTCCTTTCCCTCTTCTGCCCTTCCCAATGACCTCAGCCCTGTGAAGTTGGCCTGTAAAACTGAGCATTTTCCCAAGGCTATGGAAATCTGTTCACTCCTTTAAAGGGCTAGACCTCCTCACACTGGCTAATTAACCCTTTGTGGGTTTTAATAGCATAGAAGTCACTGCCAAACCCTGGGGGTAGAAAAAACTGCTGGCTTAATTTGGTCAATGATGAGCTTGGAAGCTAGATTGCAGAGAGCAAGGAAGAAAGTGAGACGATAGGAGGTGGTGGTAAACCTCCAGAAGTGTAGTGACTTGCTTAGGGTCACATATCACAGCTAGTTACCGTCTGAGGTCAAATGTGATCTCAGGGCTTCCTGACTCCAGGCCCGGTGCTCTATCCTCGTACCACCTGCTGCCTCCGTGATGGTGATGGGACAAGGAGGTAAGAAGGGGAGGGATTCAGAGAGGGGAGGATGGTATGGAGTTTACAGAGTAGAAATGGGAAAAAAGGAATATGAAGTCAGAGCAGAGAGATAGCTAGGGAAGGTCCTGGAGGGAAAGAGGATAGGTTTAGAGAGGGCCATGGGTTAGGCGATTTGGGTCATGGGATGGTAGGCAGCTTGGGTCAGCTAGAGGGTCACCTGAGTCTGTGACTAAGGAAGGGGAAAGCTCTTCCTTGAGGTCCAGTGTGGGACCATTCCCCATATGTGGCTGAGGTGGAGTGAAGGTGGAGAGGCTGAGGAATTAGGTTAGCGAGCTTGGAAAGTGGTGACCCAGGGGTAGCAGTCCTTGAGAGAGCTGGGGAAAATGACCCTGGGCTGGCTTATAGCATCCACCATGATCTGTGGCAGAAATTACTGAGTGAAGTTCCAAGAAGAAGAGGCAGATGGACAAGTGATCGTAGTAAAGAGAATGTCTGGTGATTAGGAGGGAGGAGTATTGGGGACCCTCCTCTGGGACTGGCCACATGGGTGCCACAATGATGTTCTTAAAGATTGGGTCTGAACTCTTTTGTTTAATAGACTCCAGTGATGCCTTATTGATTCTAGAACCATACATGCATCTTTAGCTCAACATTTTACATTTGATTTTCATTTCTAAGTTTTGTAATGCAATTATTAGCACTCTAGGACACGATATAGTTTATAAATAGTTAAATGCACAAATATTGGGGGGCTGAGATCAATTTTTTTTACTAATAGATGTCATTTCCCCCCAATTTATTCTCTATATAGCTTGTTTGTATATAGTTGTTTGCATGATGTCTCCCCTTTGGATGGAGAGCTCCTCCAGGGCAGGGTCTGTCTTTTACCTTTCTTTGTATCCCTAGAACTTAGCACGGTGCAAGGCACACAAGAGGTGCTTAATTGATGCTTGTCGACTGACTGCATGATCAAAAAAGTTTGGATGCCCATTTTCCAGAACACTTAGAGTCTGGTTTCCATCACATGAGGATCAAGTATCCCTAATTATTTAATGTCTGTACTCATGGTTTCCAGCCTGAGCCTCTGAGATCTATGTGTTATGTAAAAGCACCTTCTTATACTTAATCTGTGAAGCTCATGGTGCTTTTCAGAGCCTTAAACGGCAGTATGGCATAGTGGATAGCACACTGCACTTGAGCTCAGGAAGACTTGGGGTTAGACACCAGCAGGAAGGACCAGGCTGACTATTTGCAGAGGACTCAGCCCATTTGCAGACAGGCCAGTGTTTGTAAATGCAGTAGCTTGAATGGGATGCAGGAAACCTTTCCTACCCAATCAAGAATATATATATTTTTTGATGATAATGATGTCACTTCTGGGCCTGTTTCTTCCCATGTAAAACAGGGAAGTTAGATTAAATCCAATTCCAGGTCTCTAGGAGCCCAGAGAAACTTGGCAGACGTTGATAGAATAGGATTTGACTTCGCTCTCCTTTGGTGCCACCAAGTGGTCAACTTTGCTCTAGTCTCACGCGGTTCTTTTCTGTGGGCATTATACACTTTTTGCTTTATCAGAACCAGATAGGCCCTTTCCTCTGATTATTTAGGTGCTGCCTGAAGACTTGCAGATTAGAAGTGGTTCCCAAATGCAAAATATAGGGAAAACTTCAGGAAACTTTATTCATTTTGGGATAAATGGGGAGAGTTATAGGATTTAGATTGAGGTCTTCAAATTTGATAACTTTATATATTTTGACTTTATATTACTCTCACCCACCTCCTGAAAGGATGCCTTAATGTATAGTGATTTTTTGTTTTAAGTTAGTGTGAATGAAATTAAGATAAATTTGTTTTTGAGATATTGAGAATTTAATAAAGATCTCGAGATCATTGAATGAACATAAATAACAATTATCGTCATTCCATTTCATTCATTCATTCTTTTTAAAATTTATTTACTTTTTATTTTTCAACATTCACTTCCACAAGATTTTGGGTTTTAAATTTTCTCCTCTTTCCTCTCCTCCCCCTCTCCCCCCAAGACAGTGTGCAATCTGAGATAGGCTCTACTTATACACTCATATTAAGCATATTTTCCCAGTAGACGTGATGTAAAAAGAATTAGAACTAAGGGGAGGAACTATGAGAATGAAGCAATAAAATAAAACAACAAAAGAAAAAGAGAGCATCATTCATTCATTCTTGGATCATTAGGAATTTTTTATGATATCATGAGATTCCTGTTGTTAATTATTGCTATAAACTTAGGAATATTGAGTGGCATAAAAACATGACATTTATCTCATTGGTATCTCATCAGTATCTTATCTTTTTTATCATCTACATAGCACTAGAAGTTCGGTATGTGTGTCCTACTTCCCACTAGATTCTATGAAAGGAACAGGGAATCTCTAATGTTGAGCTTCCTCCAGTGCCTAGGACAGTGTTTTGCACATAGTAGGTGCTTGATAATTTTTTAAAAAAATTGAATAATGAAGTGTAGCCAAGTCCAAATAACCTAAGTTAGCAAATAATCAAAAAATAATTCTGAAATTGTTGAATATTAGATTTGGAATGAACCACAGAGACTTTGTAGTTCAATTTGCTCATTTTATAGATGAGAAAAGCGAGACCCAGAGGTGTAAGTTGGTTTGGTGGGAAGGGGTTTATGGGAGAAGAAGGACTCAGTTTCAAGAAGCAGGAGGCATTTTGAAAGGAGATTTGGAGGGCTTGGGAATTGTGATGGCCAGGGATTGAAATCTGGGGAGGAGAAGCTTGAAGAAACAAGAGGTTGGAGCAAAAGAAGAGTGGCCAGATCCAGAAGGGACCTGGGTGAGCACTTGGTCTAACCCATGCCTGAAAAAGGATCCTGTCTCCACCCCCTGCCCTCTCCCTTCCCCATGGTTGTCTGGCTCTGGCTTCCTCCTCTGGCCAGGGGAACCTCTTGTTTACAAAGTCAGCACGTCTAAGACATGATGTTCAACCCTCCTGCAAACCCCCCTCTTTTGGTGCCCTGCTGGACCATGCCTTTTTGGTCCTGGTTTACAACCTGGAAGTCAGCCCTGATTCTTCCTTCTCCTTCCATGCCCCACATTCAAAGAGTTGGGAAGTTCTGTTGATTCTATGCTCCTGGCAACTTTTGCCTCCGTGCCCTTCCCTCCATTCACTTGGCTGTCATTTGAATGTGCGCCATCATCTTTTCTTGCCTGAACCACTCCAGTAGCCTTCTAATTGATGTCCCTGCCTCCAGCCTCTCCCTGCTCCCATCCATACTCTCACAGCTGCCAAAGGGTGACCAGGGCACTCCTGTCTGCAAGAAGCTGAAGTGACTCCCTCTGACTTCTAGTATAAAATTCAAAGTCCTCTGTTTGGCCCCTATCTGTCCTGGCTTATTGCCACCCTGTTCTCCTTCCAGATACTCTGGTCTAATTTCTCTCCTATGCAGATTACAATCCACCTCCATACCTTTGCAGGGGGGTGTACAGGTATTCAGGGAAGACTAGCCCTTCTGGTGTGGGGGCTGCTCATACATCTTTGGTGACACTCTTAGCACTCAGCTCTCACCTGTGGCTCCAGGAAGCTGTAACAATGCAGCCAGCCTTTACAGGGGTTGCCCACCCACCCTCCATGCCTGTCATGAACTTGCTCCTCACCTTGGTCTTACAGAATCTTTACCTTTCTTCAAAGTGGAGTTTGGTGTTACCTCCTAGAGGAGGTCCTTCCTCATCCCTTCCCCCATTTTCAGTGCTTTCTACCCTCTCCCACAATTACTTTTATTTATTCTGAATATGTGATGAATACATTCCTGTGCATGTTGTCTACTGCCCCCAGTGGAATGTAACCTCCTTGGAGGATAGCACTGTTCCATGCTTGTCTTTGAATTCCCAACACGTAGCCAAATGCCCAGCATGAAGCAAGCAATGGGGCATTTGTGGGTTGTTGCTGCTTTTGGAGAACAGAGGATTGGAACATCATATTCAGGACTTGGTTGCCTGGAATCCAATGAGCAGTGGCAGTGATTGCCTTGGACTCAACTTTTCCAGGGCCTGCCTCTGCCTGAGAAGCTGGGTCTGCCACCCTTTCTACCTTCTACCTGGCCCTGGCTCTTTCTTTGCTTTCAGTATTGCTGGGTCAAGACCAATTACCACCTTCTTTTATGCCCTCATTCTCCTGGTATTCTGTGCCAAACCCTCCCCATAGAGTTTGAAAACCTGGCTGCTGTCATTGTCTCTTTCCTTAGGCTTCTTTCCCTCCAGTGCGTCCTTTCCAAACACTTCCTCAAACTCTTCATGTGAGTGGTCTAGACCACTGGATAGTCGGGTCACCTCTTCAGAAATGTTGACACATTGTCCATTAGCATTGCTTGGTGCCAGAGGGTTTATAGCTTGAAGAAACTTTAGGGAATGTTGTGTTCCTGCCCCTCATTTTATAGACCACAGACCTAGAGCTGAAGGTGCTTCAAGGGCACCTTGGCCGATCTCCAACCAAGTGGTATCCCTGAGATCATCTAAGTGTTAAGTGACAGAGGTGGGCTTTGAACCCCAGGCCTCCTTCTACTAAGAATTCAAAACTCAAGTATTTGTTAATTGGTACTCTAATGCAGAGCCTGGCACACAATAGGTGCTCATCTTCTGTACCTGACTCTTTCTCTTTAGTGCTCTGAAACCCCTTCTCTTAGAGCATTAAAATCAGTCTACCCTTGGAGGCAGCACCGAGGTAGAAATAGATGGAGTTGGTGTCCAAGGACTTGGGTTCAAATTCCAGCTTTGCTGCTTACTACATGGGTGTTCTTGGGACTTAACCCTCTCTGGATCTTGGTTTCCTGCTATGTAAAATGAGAACGCTGGTCTAGCTGGTCCCTGAAGTCCCTTCTAGCTCTGGACATGGGCTTCGGTGACACTCACCCCTCTCTTCACTTCGGTTGTTGCTCAGTAGTTTTCACTCATTTCTGACTCTTCATGATTCCGTTCGGGGTTTTCTTGGCAGAAATGACTGGCAGGGTTTGCCATTTTCTTCTCCAGCTCATTTTTACAGATAAAGAACTGAGGCAAACAGGGTTAAGTGACTTGCCCAGGGTCACACAGCTAGCTCTGTCCTTCAGGGCTTTCTGTAACTGGCGCTGGTTGTTGAAGCAGGCAGGCCGAGTTTGGTCTTTTAGCAAGCTGTGGAATTTCACGAACCCCGAGTCATTCTGTTCATCCTGTGTTTGTTTTCAGAAATACAGCCAAGGTCAGGGGCTGCGAAGACGACGGTTGGAAAAATCGCCTCTGGCAAGGGAACACTAAGGCTGAGATCGAAAGGTCCCGCTACTGTGGAAGAGCTGGTAGGTTGGGGCCGGGCTCAGGACTCTGAAAATCCGCCGATGTTGGTGAGCCGAGTCGGGGAGCTGGACCCGGGCCAAAGTCCAGAAAAAGAATCAGGCCGCCCTGCTGCCGAGAGCTTTCATGCGCCTTGGTAGTCAGGGTAGAGTCTGGGGCTGCTGACCCCTGGGAAGGAACCAGAGCAATACCTTTCAGTTCGTCCTTTAGCGGGGTGCAGGGGAGAATGTGTTGCACCGGGAACCTTGGGCGACCCAGAACACCAGGCTCCCGGAACGCGCTAAAAATAACGAAAAGAAGGAAAGTGGGCAGTGATGGGGCAGTCCTCGGCCACTTACCCTCAGAAAGTGGAACCCCCAGGAGCAGGCAAATAAATCCGGAGAGACAAGGGAGTGGGCAAATGGGAAGGGACGCCTTGAAATTCAAAATTCATATTAAACATTCATTCAGTTTTGCTTCCTATTTGCAAGTCACTGTGCTGGGTGCTAGGGACACGGAGACAAAATCGGAAGAATTACTGCCCCCATGTATCAGGCTATCCTAGATTTAGGGCTGGAGAGACCTCAGAGGTCTGTTTTACAGATGAAGAAACTAGGCTTAATACAGCTGGCAAGCGTCTGAGGCAGTATTTGAACTCAGCTCTTACCTACTCTAGGCCTGGAGCTCTATGCCCTGGGTCAAGGTAGCTAGAATGAATCTGGTTACTATGGCACCATGATGGCCTTGAATTCATGCCATGGGAGAATCACTTGGAGAATCTCAGAGAAGAGAGACATGATCTTTGTCTTCAGGAATCTGGAGGGTTGGTTTGTGAAAGAAGAATCTGGCTTATTTTGCTTGGTCCCAGAAGGCAGAAGTAAAAATAAGGGGTATAAGTTCTCAAGAGAGAGATTTTGGCTGGATGTGAGGAAAAACTTTTCAGTAATTGGAGCCAAGCAGAAGAGGAAAGGCCTTGGACAGAATGACTGAGTGATGCCTGGAGGAGCACATTGTGCAGGGGATTTTAGGCCCCCACATGGGCCTCTGTGGCCCCTGACAGCTGGGATTCTGTGACAATTAATGGTGTGGAAAGTTGGCCACATTATGTCTGTGAGGTGATGCTGGGGCAAGTGCCTTGGTGGCCATTTGGAGCAGAGAACCCTGGGTGCCTTTTACAAGAAGTCAAGCCCCCTTCAGTGTCCCAGGAAGCTTGTTCTTGATGTGATCCCTGGGGGGCACACAGTGACTTAGAAGACCCCAGGCAAACACGTTCTGCTGTCTTATGTCTTTTGCTAGACATTTCCCTATAATGTTTTGGTCTGGTTCAGGACTGTTGTGGTCATGTTTGACATCTCTGCCTGTACTTTTGGTGACGTCTTCTGCATATTGAAGAGCTCATGTCCAGCACGATCACCTAGGGTAATTAAGTACAACTTAAATTATATTAATTATCCTATATTTATGAGGGCAGAGTAGAATATCATCCCTTATCTAAAGTGTTTTCACAAAAGCTTTTCAAAGAAAAAAATACAGCCTTCAAAGAGTCAATCCCACGTCTTCTGAGAGCTGAACCTTGGCACTGTTGGCTAAGGGTTCTGAACAGCTCTCCTTGTGGGAGGGCTCAGAACTTTAGCTTCTAGGTGGAAAAAGGCCTCATGTATTAAATCAGATGATGTTTGTGAGAGCCAGTAGGGACCCAAGGCAGGCCCAGATCATGCGGGTTGTTAAGGCTTTGCCAATAAGATAACACCCTTTTTCTCTCGTCTTTAATAAAGCCTTCGGAGTCAGATGAGAAAGCCATTAAGAAGGTGGATTCTCTTCTGGAATTATACCTGGGGATCCGAGATATTGAACTAGGTAAGAATTTGCCATTTATAAATAATGACTTTTTATCCCTTAGTCCCATAAATTCAGTTGCATTTATTGCTAACTTGTAATTATATCAAAAGCTATAATTATCAAGGTAATGAGAGATGCCTTGGCAGAGATGACCCCAAATGGCAAATTAAAATATGTAAATTAGGCAGAGGTTTGTAGCACTGATTCATAGGTAATGAAGGCTAAGTGTTAGAGAAAGAAAGAACTGTGTGAATGTCAGATGGAATTCCTCTGTGGAGTATGGTGAATCTTTTTTTTTTTTTTTGGTAGTAAGTAGTATTTTATTTTTTCCAACATGTGAAGATAGTTTTCAAAGATTTTGAGTTCCAAATTTTTCTCCCTCCCTTCCTTTCCTCCCTTCTTGTCACAATGGCAAGCAATCTGATACAGGTTATACAGGTGCAATCATGTTAAACATTTTTCTACATTAGTCATGTTGGGAAAGGAGAAACAGAACAAAAAGGATAAGCCACGAAAAAGAAAAATGAAAAATAAAAAAAGTGAAAATAGTAGGAGCATGCCTAATCTTTACAAGGTGAGTGAGTGCGTTGGTAGCAGAGACCCAGCGTGTGTGACCTGGGGAAATCCCTTGATCTTTGCTTCCTCCTCTATGAAATAACGGGTGGGTATTTAAAGCTGTTCACCTTCTGGCCTACCCTTCAGGTGGCCACATACGCTAGCCTCTCTAATGTGCCTTTCAGGCCCTTTACACGCCTCCTTTCTGGTACCCTATGGTCTAGTGAGATCAAACTGGCTAGTTTCTGGTACATAAACTCTCTGCCTCCCATCTCCATGCTTTAGCACAGGCTGTGCCCTGTGCCCAGAGGGTACTCCTGCTCACTCAGAATCCCTGTCTATTTCCCAAGCTCAAACACCCGCTTTCACTTGAAGGCTTTCCTGATCCCCAGGTGCTAGTGCCTTCCTTCAACTTACCTGGCAGCGAATTTGTGCACATTTTGTTGGTATCTCCCCCCATGTATGTGTTGGGCTCTTCACTTTGCTCTTTGTGTTTCCAGTGACTGACTAGCATGTAATTGCTTGGAGGGTGTCCACCAAGATCTGAGTTCCTTAGCCTGGGCTGGGGCCACCAGCCCCTCATTTCATAGCTTCATGAACTTGGGTGGGAAAAAAATCCACTCTTTATTTTCATCACCCTCTGGCAGAAAGTGAGCGATTCCTTCAAAGACTTGTGATGGAGGCTCTGAGCTTGCCCAGGCTGGCCAGGGCTCCAGGATATGGAGTCACCCCCCGGATGAGTGGCTCCCCTTCCTCTGAGCACCTTCTGCACCGGATAAAGAAGTTGAAGGGCAAGGGTTCTCCTTGCCTGTTGCTTGGAGGAGGCAATTGCATCCCACTGACACTCCCCCTTTCCCTTCCCCTCTTTCTTCTGCTGCTTTATGCTTCCTTCCTTTCTTCAGCAGGCTCTTGCCTGCCCTGTGTTTGGTTCTCAGATTGTGCTTTGTGACTGAAGGTTCTTTTCCGAGCAGAAAGAACACAGACGTTTTAGGGCGAAGCCGGTCCAGTTGTTGTTGTTTGTCCTTTGTTCTCGCAGAGAACCATAACATCATGGAGGTGATGCCATGATATGCAAGTGAATTGGATTACAGCGAGGGAAGGGCTGTACAGGGTCACCAGCCTCACCTTCTCCTCTAGAGCCAGCTGGGTCCAGCAGCCAGATACATATGAGGATGACTGGAGCTGGCCCAAATGTGGTGGAAGACCTTGGCCTTTTAAAGCTAAGGACTTTAGTAGGTCTCAGTTGGACAAGTGGTCATCCAGCTTGTGCTTGGATCCCTCCAATGATGGGGACTTACTTCCTCCCATAAAGGGAGATTTTAGCTTAGTTGTCTATCTCCAAAAGGGCCTCCAAGGCCCCCGGCACCTGAGATTCAGTGAAAACTAATTTTGTGCCCCTCTCCATAATTTTGTTGGTCAATTGTGTCCAACTCTTCATGACACCATTTGAGGTTTTCTTGGCAGAGTGATTCACCATTTCCTTCTCCAGCTCATTTTACAGATGAGGAAACTGAGGCAAATGAGGTTAAGTGACTTGTCCGGAGTCACAAGCTAGTTAGTGTTTAAAGGTCAGGACAATGAGTCTTCCTGATTCCAAGTCCAGCTCTCTATCTACTTTATCACTCAGCTGCCCCTCCCTCACTCACCCAGTATTTTGTAGACCTCTCCCTCCGTCTGTATACATTGTCTCCCATAGCTAGGCTGCCAGTTGTTTGAGGATAGAGACTTTTCTCACTTTGAATCCCCAGTGACAGTCAGTCTAACCCTAATCCCACTTTTGGAGAGTTTTATTAGCAAGTTTGCCCTGAAGCTACACCTAAATGTTGCCATTCACACTTCCTAGGGCTCCTGGTTCTGCCCTTTAGGACCAAACAACAAATGTGGTCCCTCAGCTACCTCATGAACCTTCACAGAGTTGGTGACAGATAATGCTGTTCGCTCTGGGTCTCCTTTAGCCTGGACACTCCTGTTCATCAAATACTCCTCCTATGACATGGAGGCCCTTCTTCCACCTTCCTGGGTGTTCTCCTTTGGGTGCTTTCTCTCTGTTTCTACTTTTTTTTTGGGGGCTAGGCAATGGGGTTGAGTGACTTGCCCAGGGTCACATAGCTAGTAAGTGTTATGTGTCTGAGGCCAGATTTGAACTCAGGTCCTCCTGAATCCAGGGCCAGTGCTCTATCCACTGTGCCATCTAGCTGCCCCTAGGTGCTTTCTCTCTGATCAGTGGCCTTTGCAAGAGGTCTGACAAGAGCAGAGTAGGGAGGGAGAGAACAGGAATTTATCAGGTGCCCACTTTATGCCAGGCATTGTGCTAAATGCTTTGCAAATATTTCTTTTAATCCTTACAACAACCTTGGGAGGTAAATTGGATTATTATCCCCATTCTACAGTTGAGGAAACTGAGGCAGATAGTGGTTAAGAGACTTGCCTAGGGTCACACAGAGTTTGAATCTGGATTTCAGTTGAAGTCTTCCCACTCCAGGCACAGCATACAGCTCTATCCACAGGGCCACCTAGCTTCCAGAGTAACTATCACCTCCCATGTCCATTTTAATGGCCCCTGGCAGTGAATTCCCATTTTTTCAACTTTTTGACATTTTTATTCAGAGTTTTGAGTTTCAGATTCTGTTCCTCTCTCCTTTTCTCCCATCCCTCTTCCCTGAGACAGTAAGCAATTAGATATCAGTTGTACATGTGCAATTATGTAAAACATTTCTATATTAGTTATTTTGTACAAGAAGACTTTAACAAAAGAAAAAAGTGAAAGAAAGAAAGTGAAAACTAGCCTGCTTCAGTCTGTATTCAGACATATCAGTTCTTTCACTGGAGGCAGATAATATACTTCATCATTAGTCCTTTGGGATTGTCTGGGTCATTGTATTGCTGGGAATAGCTAAGTCATCCACACCTCTTCATTATATAATATTGCTGTTACTGTGTACAACGTTCTCCTCCTTCTGCTCACTTCACTTTGCGTCAGTTCATGTAAACCTTTCTAGGATTTTCTGAAATCATCCTGCTTGTCATTGCTCATAGCACAATAACATTCCATTACAATCATATACCACAGCTTGTATAGCCATTCCCCAATGGATGGGTATCCCCTTGATTTCCAATTCTTACCCACCACAGAAAGAGCTGCTCTAAATATTTTTTGTACAAATAGAGCCTTTCCCCCTTTTCTGGATGTTTTTTTTTGGGGGGGATATAGACCTAGCAGTGGTATTGCTGGGTCAAGGGGTAAGTACAGTTTATAGGCCTTTGGGCATAGTTCCAAATTGCTCTCCAGAATGGTTGGATCAGTTCACAACTCCACCAACAATATATTAGCAACCCAGTTTTCCCACATCCCCTCCGACATCCAACAGTTTTCTTTTTTGTCCTATTAGCCAACCTGAAGGGTATGAGGTGGTGCCTCAGAGATGTTTTAATTTGTATTTCTCTGATCAAGAGTGATTTAGAGCATTTTGTGAATTCCCATTTTTGCCTTCCATAAGACACTACTGACTCATCTTGTTTTTGTAGTCCACTGAGATCCCCAGAGCATTTAGTAGTATAGGACACTGTTGATTAGCCACCCCTCCCACATTCTGTCCTTGTGAGACTGAGTTTTGGAAGCCAAGGGTGAGACTTTATTCCTGTTGAATTCACTTTCTAGTTAGCCCAGTGTCCAGAGACATGATATGCTTAGCTCCACATCCCAGCCATCCATACATCAGCCACACCAGACTCTTGTCCCAGGCTCTTCCAGATGCAATCAGTGAGAGGAGAGAGGAGGAGGCTTCTGGTTTCCAGCTTCAAGAGAGAAGGGAGAAATCCTGGAAGGGGATAGAGAGTCTGGCAAGGAGCCAACATGTACTCTCCCAAGATCTTGCCAACTTTGCCCCTCATTGAGGCATGAAGCATTGAGTAAACAGTCCCCTCCAGTGAGGAGAGCCTTATCACTGATGGGCTTTGAGCCCCTAATTAGAGAGAAAGAGACTGAGTCAGTGGTTCGGGACTTCCTGGGGCTCACAGGCACACAATCAAAAAATGAGAAGGGACCTTATTTATTCCAGTTCATAGCTGTCCAAGAACCCCATATACAACCTTTGTAACAAGTGTCCATGAGGCCTCTTCTTGGGCATCTCCAGGGAGGGTTAGCAAAAAGTTCAAGAGCCTCCACACAATAATTATGAAAAAGAAAAGAATCCAGAGATCTCTAGGAGCAGACATTGCCCCCTCCCCCAAATTGTTTGTTTGTTATAGTTTCTTGTCCCCATCATTCCTCACCAGGCTCTTCTTGGAAGTTGACTGGGAATCCCCTTATAAAGTTAATTAGTCACTTGTAGCCAGTGCCTCCCACTGGCACATGACACACTTATGAGAGGTGAGAAGTGGAGGGAATGTTGGCCACGGCTAACTTGGGCATCCCTTTTGTGATTCAGGCCAGATCAGCATAACTATAAACCAGACCAAGCAAT